GTTACAAGAGACAAAGAAGAGCATTAAAGGTTCCAGACAGCAATAAAATATAACAATTATAAATATATATGTATTTAACAGAGCCCTAAAATATATAAAGCAAAAATTGAGAAAATTGAAGGGAGAAATGGACAGTTCTTCAATAATAGAGACTTCAATACTCCACTTTCAATAATGGATAGGTCAACCAGACAGAAGCTCAATACGGAAATAGAGGACTTAAATGATAGTATAAACCAATTAGACCTAACAGACACATACAGAACATTCTACCCAACAACTAAAGAATACACATTCTTCTCAATGCACATGGAACATTCCGCAGAATAGCCCATATATTAGGCCAAAAACACCTGTCAATAAATTTTAAAAAACTGAAATCGTACCAAGTGCAGTCATGTGTCACTTAACGATGGGGATACATTCTGAGAAATGCGTTATTAGGCAATTTCATCGTTGTGCAAACATCATAGAGTAGACTTACACAAACTGAGGTGGTACAGCCTACTACACATCCAGGCTATATGGTATAGCCTATTGTCCTAGGCTACAAACCTGCACAGCATATTACTGTACTGAATACTGTAGGCAATTGTAACACAGTGGTAAGTATTTGTGTAACTAAACATATCTAAACATAGAAAAGGTACGGTACAATATGGTATAAAAGATAAAAAATGGTACACCTGTATAGGGCACTTACCACGAATGGAGCTTGCAGGACTGGAAGTTGCTCTGGGTGAGTCAGTGAGTAAGTGATGAGTGAATATGAAGGCCTAGGACATTACTGTAGACTTCATAAACACTGTACACTTAGGCTACACTAAATTTATTTAAAAAATGTTTCTTTCTTCTATAATAAATTAAACCTAGCTTACTGTAACTTTTTTATTTTATAAACTTTTAAATTTTTTTTAACTTTTGTAATAATACTTAGCTTAAAACACCAACACATGGAACCACTGTACAAAAATATTTTCTTTCTTTATGTCCTTATTCTATAAGCTTTTTTCTATTTAAAAAAATTTTTTTTCACTTTTTAAACTTTTCTGCTGAAAACTAAGACACAAACACACATATTAGCCTAGGCCTACACAGGGTCAGGATCATCAGTATCACTGTCTTCCACCTCCACATCTTGTCCCACTAGGTCTTTGGGGGCAATATCATGCATGGAGCTGTCATCTCCTATGATAACAATGCCTTTTTCTGGACTATCTCTTGAAGGACTTGCCTGAGGCTCTTCTTGAGGAGATGTCACTCTTTTCAGAAATATGTCTATGGTGGTTTGCCTGGTTTATTTCTTTTTTTCATCATAGGTTTATTTGCCTGTAAGCAGATAATACACCATGAACATTCTTCTCTATTAATGAAAACCTTTTGGTGTTGGGGTCCATGTTTTCAAACTTTTTAAGGAGCTTGTTGAGGTCTGCAAAAGCTTCTGCTAAACTCGTCAGTATGAATTTTCTTGGGGATTATTCTTCTCCTGCAGTTTCCTTTTCTCTTGCCTCTTCTTCAGCTATGTTTTTCTGTTTTAGTTATAAGAACTCCTCATTAGTCAATTTCTCAGGAACTACTTCTAGTTGCTCCTCAATGTCACCCTCATCCACACCCAGATTAAAGTTGTTTGCCATCTCAACCACAGTGTTGTTGAGTTGTGCAACCTCCTCATCCTTGGCAAATCCTTTGAAATCATGGATGAACCTCTTGAGTGTCTTCTTCCAGATGCCACTCATACACTCCTTGGTGACATCACCCCAAGCCCAAGCAAGGTCTTGATGCAGCCATAGATGTTGGAATCCTTCCAGAATTGCATCAGTGTCTTCTCAGTGTCTTTCTCAGTTGCAGCAATAGCCTGGACAAAGGTACTCTTCAGGTAGTAGGCCTTAAAAGCTGCTATAACTCCTTGATCCATTGGTTGGATCAAAGAGGTGGTGTTTGAAGGAAGAAATACTGCTTTGATATTGGGATGAAGATCACCAATAAAAGGAGGATGTCCAGGACCACTGTCAACAATAAGCAAAATCTTGAAAGGTATGTTATTCTCCAAACAGAACTTTTCTATTTCACTGGCACAGCAATTCAGGAGGGCATCTTGGAAGAGGAGCTGGGTCACCCATGACTTCTTATTGCTCCTGTAGTACACTGGCAGTGTGTGCTTATGGATATGCTTGAAGGCCCTGTGGCTTTCATTGTGCCAAATCACAAAGGATTTCAATCTATAGCCTGCAACATTGCCCCCAAGCAAGACTATTATCCTGTCCTTAAAACCCCTGAAACCTGGCATTGACTTGACCTCCTTACTGATGAAAATCCTTTCAGGCATCAGTTTTCAGAATAAGAAGGTTTTATCTATATTGAATATTTGCTCTAGCAGGTAATTTTCCTCCACAATCAGCTTATCTAGAGTTTCCAAAAATTCTTCAGCTGCCTTCACATCAGCACTTGCAGACTCACCAGTCACTTTCACATTATGTAATGAATAATACTTCTTGCATCATTTAAACCACCCAGAGCTAGCAGTAAATTCAACATGGTAGTTGGGTCCAGCCTTTTCTTTCAACATCGCAAACAAACTTTTTACTTTGGCTGTGATCGTCATGGTGCTGAAATGGATACATTTCTGTGTCTGGTCTTCAACCCAGGTGATTAGAAGTTTCTCCATGTCTGATAGAGGCCCTTCTCAATTTTTTGTTAGTCTCATTGCCATTGATGAAGCAGATCCTCTAACAGCTTCCATCACTTTGTTCTTGTTCTTCGAGGTCATGGCTATGGTAGGATCGGACATGCCTGACTGGCGAGCAATAACCATCACTGATTTTCCACCTTCGTAGTCCTTAATCACTTTTAATTTCATTTCCAGGTCAATCACTCAACATGGCCTCTTACTGGCAACACTAGAAGTGGATTTTGTACTCTTAGGGGCCATGATGAACAAAACAACATGAGATTAAATCACGCATAAGAAAAAAATGATACAATCAAGAGATGCGGTACACATGAGATGTATGAGGCTGCTGCCAGCATAACATGGTATACTGTTTTACAGTAAACACTTTTTTTATAAGTAGAAAAGGTACACTCTAAAATAATGATAAAAAGTGTAGTATAGTAAATACACAAACCAGTAACATAGTCATTTATTATCATTATCAAGTATTATGTACTGTACATAATAGTAAATGCTATACTTTTATACGCCTGGTAGAGCAGTAGGTTTGTTTACACCAGTATCACTACAAACACTGAGTAATGTATTGCGCTACAACGTTACAATGGCTATGACATCACTAGGCGATAGGAATTTGTCAGCTCCATTATAATATTATGGGACCACCATTGTATATATGGTCTGTCATTGACCAAAACGTCGTTATGTGGTGCATGACTGTATCTTTTTTAATCACAATGGAATGAAACTAGAAATCAATAACTGGAAGGAAACTGGAAAACTAGAAAATTCACAAATATGTGGAAATTAAGCAACACACTTAAACAACCTATAGGTCAAAGAAAAAATCACAAGGGAAATTAGAAAATACCATAAGATGAATAAAAACAAAACCATAACATACCAAAACTTATGGGATGCAATGAAAGAAGTGCTCAGAGGGAAATTTATAGCTCTAAACACATACATTAAAAAGAAGAGGGGCCAGCCCGGTGGTGCAAGCGGTTAAGTGCGCATGCTCCGCTGCAGCAGCCCGGGGTTGGCTGGTTCCGATCCCGGACACGCACCGTCACACCACTTGTTAAGCCACGCTGTGGTGGCGTCCCATATAAAGTAGAGGAAGATGGGCACGAATGTTAGCCCAGGGCCAGTCTTCCTCAGCAAAAAAAAAGGAGGATTGGCATTGGATGTTAGTTCAGGGCTGGTCTTCCTCACAAAAAAAAGAAGAAGAAGAAGAAGAAAGCTCTCAAATCAATAACCTAACTGTACATCTTAAGGAACTAGAAAAGGAGAGCAAACTAAACTGAAAGCTAGCAGAAGTAAGGAAATAATAAAGGTTAGAGTAGAGGTAAATACAACGGAGAGAGACAATCAGCAAAACCAAAAAGCTGGTTCTTTAAAAAGATCAACAAAATTGATAAATCTTTAGGTAGATGGACTGAGAAAAAAAGAATGAAGACTCAAATTACTAAAATCAGAAATAAAAGTAGGGATATTACTCCCCATTTTACAGAGATAAAAAGGATAATAAGAGAATACTATGAACAATTGTACATCAACAAATTAGATAACCTAGATGAAATGGACAACTTCCTAGAAACACAATCAAAGCACTATGGTACTATATAAAAATAGTTTTTAAAAATTACATATATTTATACATAATGTGGTTTGTGTGTGTGTGTAATATAGAGGTGTTATAATAACTAAAGAAGGGTAAATACTAAGGTTTTAAAAGTGGTTATCACTGGGTGAGTAGAAATATGTGTGTTTTTATATGCTTTCTTGCTGATCTAAATTTTATCAAATTTTTTGTAATGGGCATATAGTGCTTTTGTAATAAGAAAACAACAGTTAACAAAAGAAACTTTATCTGGGAAAAAACCAGAAAACTGTCTGCTGCTTAGCCCAGGGGAAATTACATTTATAGGGACAAAATGACTTCCTTTTATTAATACCTAAACTATTTTTGCAAAACAAGTATGAAAACCATTGCTACACACCTTTTGGCTAGCTCCTCAGGCATTCGCTTTGGAACCAAGGCTTTGTCCAGCTCAATCTCCAAAACAATGTATGTCCCTGCTTCTACATATTGCTGTAAAGACATTTTTCTCTAATTTATTCTTTCCAGAAAAAGATATTTATGAAAAAATTTTAGTAACATAAGATAATGCTCACAATATAGTCAGTGACAAAACTGCATATACAACTATATATAGGGTGATCTTGACTGTTAAAATATTTTTTACATAGTAAAATAACTAGAAAGAAAAATAGCAACAGTGGTTATCTTTTGCAGAAAAGTGTTTTCAGTTTTATTCTTGGAAACTTCTACCCCAGTTGAAGCCCCGTTTTACTTGTTTAATACTTTTCTTGGACTGTTATAAGTGAATGCCATTCTTTCTCCCACCGAACCTTTCATGAGTCCTGTAGAAAATTCTTCTCATAACCTTCTGACATTCCCACTCACAGCCTTCTAAGCACTATCTACCAACTGCGACCTGATGGACATTTCTACCCAGATTTTTGCCAGCATCCTAAATACATATCTAAAATCGAACTTATTTCCCCTGTATCAACCTCTCTTTTGGCTTTTCTCTTAATGATTTTGCCATCCTTCCAAAAAGTGAGGCTTGAAACCTGAGTTATCTTTAATGTTTCTTCCTCAACACCCCCAAAGCTTCCCAATTCTACACCCTGCTTCTGCAGATTTCTGACTTTATGACAAAACCTTCCCTAAGTCGAATTGTCATCAACACTCACCTGTACTATAAGAAAAACCTATGAACTGACATCTGAAGCCCCTACTCCCAAATCTCTTTTAAACATCTTTGCAAGAGTTCTGCCTTGAAGCACACATGAGGTCTTATTTCTCCTTGACTTAAAAACCTTTACTGTGAGTCTGTAAGATAAGGCTTGAGTCCCTCATCACCTACAGAATGAAGCCCAAGCTTTTTAGCAAGTCTTGCAAAGTTTTTCTACAGCCTGACTCAGCCTCTCTCTTCTTTCTTACCTCCTTTTAGAACCTCTCCTTTCTCTTCATTTCTCTGTACCATACACTGAATTAATTGATGTACCCTGAATTCTGCTACCTCCTTTGTGCCTTGACTCAAGCTGTTCCCCAGCCCTGAAATGCCTCTCTTTCCATCTTCATCTGGCAAAGGGTTCTCTTCATTTTTCACTACTCAGCTCGGATGCCACATTTTCCATGAAGCCTTCCGAGACTGCCCCATCCTAATAGTTATTGGTCTGTCTCCTGTGAGCCCCACAGCACTATTATTTGTACCTCTACTACAGCATTCATTGAAATTCTGTATTACAGTTAGTTATGTACCAGTCTGTTTCACTCACCAGACTGTTGAGTGTCCTGAGGGCAGATGAATAAATGCTGCAGATGATGCATCTTTGCATCTCTCCTAGTGCTTAATATAGTATAATTAATAAAAGACATAAATTTTTAATCCTGGAAAGGACCTTAAAGTTAATCTGGTACTCGCTCATTTTAGAGAGTCTCAACAAGACAAAGAAATTTACCCAAGGTCGTAAACTAGTCACGACAAATATGGAATGGTAACTCAGATAATGAGCATTTTCCTGGGAATTTTCCACTATACCATACTATCTTGCTCAGTAAAGGACTGATGAATTTAAACTTAATTTTCCAACTCTTTATGCATAGTTACCTGTCCTTCTGTATTGTGGCATAGAGAGGGTTCGAATTCCAAAGGAGTATCTGAGCTCTGAGATTTTATACTAGGTGCTTGCTGAAAGAAAATGAACACACCTCAGAAACTGAATTCTTACATGGTCTTCACAATGGCAGGAATGATGATCATTATGTTGCATCAAAATGCAAATGAAATTGCGGCAATTCACCAAATGAGAAATCAGTGCAAGCTTCTGCAGTGTAACAAAACCAGCAGAATCATCACCTTCTCAACAACCTACCACATCCCCAGGCCTAGGCCTTCCTTCTATGTCCTTTTCTTTAACTGTTTTATCTTCTTTCAGGTTTTTAGAAACAACTGGTTTGGAGAATGGAGAATTAATTCCTCCTACTTTATTATTCTGAATCAAATGATGGCCAGTATCCCGGAACAAGCTAAATAAACACTTGGTCTGAAAAGAAACAAAAAAACAATGCAATGAATCACAGGCAAATGAGACAAACGCAAAAGAAACACTCATTGTTCTTTAACATCATTTAGTTTTCTAGATAATTTCAACACTGTAGAATCAGAGAGAGATAGGGGAAGTGACAAGCTTCATTGCATTGCCAAGCTTGTTGAACAATTGAAACCATCACAGAAAGTTAGCTGGCTACCCTATTATTTAAATTATTAAGAGGAGACCTTTCGACCTTGCTTGATTTTGGTGTCTCATAACTTGTTACCAGAAAGCTTTTAATTTTTGACATATAATTCCAAATTAACTTTAAGTGGTAGAATTTATTTCTTTTTTTTTTTTTTTTTTTTTCCCCCCAAAGCCCCAGTAGATAGTTGTATGTTATAGCTGCACATCCTTCTAGTTGGTGTACGTGGGACCCGGCCTCAGCATGGCTGGAGAAGCGGTGTGTCGGTGCGCGCCCAGGATCCAAACCCGGGCCCCCAGTAGCGGAGCGCGCGCACTTAACCGCTAAGCCACGGGACCGGCCCTAGAATTTATTTCTGTACAAGAAATATTATCTAATTACTACTGGCCTATCAATTATAATTGGAAAAATAAAGCAAGTTTCAAGTTCAAAGTAAAAACTGTATTGGAAAATTCAAACTATAGATAAATGAACAGACAAGAATCTTATAACAATTTTTAAATTAAACAACATAGATGAATCTTTAAATTAAACAACATAGATGAATCTAAATATAATTTATGCTGAGTGGAAGCAGCTGGCCCCCCCCCAAAAAATGAGGGGAAGAATGGACAGAGGTGGGACAGAAGGATAACAGGGGACACGAGAAAACTTCAGGGGGTAATGGATATTTTCATTATCTTGATTGTGGTGATAGTTGCACAGATATATACCTATATCAAAAGTTTTAAAATTGTACACTAATATATGCAGTTTATTATATGTCAGTTATACTCAATAAAGCTGCTAAAAAGACAGTCCAACAATATTGAAGAAAAAATTGTAAATACTAAACATCACTCACAATTCTACCACCTCTACCCAAATTACTGTATTTCATAGATTCTAAGATGCAAACTTTCAAATTTTAACATCTCTGGGAAATGAGAACATTTCATATAAGTGATATGTTCAATATACAGTTATTTGTGTCTGACTTCTTTCACTTAGCATGTATTTGAGGTTCATCCATGTTATAGCACGTATCAGTAGTTCATTCCTTTTTTAAAACAGCTTTATTGAGATACAGTCATGCGTCACTTAACGACAGGGATACATTCTGAGAAATGCGTCATTGGGTGATTTCGTCATTGTGTGAACATCATAGAGTGTACTTACACAAACCTAGATGGTATAGCCTACTACACACCTAGGCTACATAGTATTAATCTTATGGGACCACCATCATATATGCAGCCCGTCACTGACTGAAATGTCATTATGCGGTGCATGACTGTATAATTTAAATTCCATATAATTCACCCATTTAAAGTATACCCCAAATTCAATGATTTTGGCATATTACACTATTTATAGCTCATTCCTTTTCATTACTAAATAGTATTTCCTTGTACAGATACACCACATTTTGTTTATTGATTCACTAGTTGCGGACATTTGGACTGTTGTGAGTTTTTGGCTATTAAGAATAATGCTGCTATAAACATTCACATACATGTCTTTGTGTAAATGCAGGTTTTCAATTCTCCCGGGTAGGTTCCTAGGTATGATTTGCTGGGTTGTGTAATAAGTTTATGTTTAACACAGATTTTCTATATAGTTGTTCTACCAAGTATTGAGAGTAGAATATTGAAATTTCTAAATGTTACTGTCAAATTGTCTATTTCTCCTTTTAATTCTGTTGGATTTTGCTTCATGTATTATGAGGTTCTGTTGTTGGGTATGTATGCATTATAATTTATATAAATATTATATATAATAATTCGTAATTTATAAATTCTATCTTCCTGATTAATCGACCCTTTAATCATTATAACACGCCACTCTATGTCTTTAGTAATATTTCTTGTCTTGAAGTCCGTTTTGTCTGATGTAAAACACCCACTCTGCTCTGTTATCTTTTCTAGTTGCATACTTTATCTTTTCCATCCTTTCACTTCAACTTATGTGTGTCTGAATCTAAGGCGTATCTGCTTTAGACAGCACATCATTGAATCTTGATTTTTTTTTTAAATCCAGTATCATAATCTCTGCCCTTTCATTGGGGTGTTTAGACTACTCACATATAATGTTACTGTTGAAATATTTACATTTATGTTTGCAATTTTGCTATTTGTTTTCTACATATCTTCTTTTTTGTTCTTCTGTTCCTCCTTTAAATGTCTTCTATGTTAAAAAAATATTTGTGATATCTCATTTAATTCCTTTGTTTATATATATTTGTTTATACATGTGTATATATATGTGTGTATATATATGTTTATATACATATAGATACACATATATATTTGTGTGTATGTACATGTACTCACACAAACACACAATTTTCTTAGTGGTTGCTTTAGGGACTACAATATGCATCCTAACTAATCACTATCTATTTCACATTGATACTAACTTAATTCTGGTAAAATGTAGAAACTTTACCACACTATAGCTCCATTCTATCCTCCTTCCTTTACGCTATTATCATATAAACTAAATCTATATATGTTATAAACCCAATAATACCATTGACAATTTATATAATCATGTCTTTCAAAGAATAAAAATGAGAAAAAATATATTTCTAAAATCTTTTATATTAAGAGATCTCTAATTTCTAATTTCTAATTTCTAATGCTCTTCATTTCTTCTTGTAGATTCAAGTTAGCAATTGGTGTCATATCCTTTCAAACTGAAGGACTTCCTTTAGTATTTCTTGCAAGACAGGCTTCCTAGCAACAAATTCTTTAAATATTTGTTTATCTGGGGATGTCTTTATTTTGCCTTTGTTTTTGGTTGATAGTCTTTTCATTCATCACTTTGAATATATTATTCCACTGCCTTCTAGATTCCATTGTTTCAGATGAAAAATCAACTGTTAACCATATCAGTGCTCCCCTGTAAGTGATGAGTTGTTTTTCTTCCATTAAATTCATGATTTTCTCTTTGTCTTTCAACAGTTCACTATAATGTGTAGATTGATTTCTGTATATTTATCCTACCTGGGATTCTCTGAACTTCTTGGATAAGTAGATTAATGTTTTCATCAAACATGGGATGTTTTCAGACATTATTTTTTAATATATCTTTTCTGCCACTTTCTATCTCTTCTCTCCTGGGACTCTCATTACAATTATGTTGGTTGCTCTCCACAAAGATCTCCATTTCAACCAACAACATCTCTGGGCATGGGTCCTTTACCCACTGCCCAATTGCATGAGCCCTCTCTATGGAAACAAAGTTGCTGGTCCTCACAGCCTATCCTGCCCTAGAAGAATCACTGTACTGATTAAGCCAAAGGAGTGGAGTGGGGGATGGGGAGTGGTTTAGGAGCAGCCTTAGGCAAGAATGCCTCAAATTCCATAGTTTTTCATGCATTAATATTTCTAAGTTTTTTGATGCCTTTGGTCAATTTCCAGAGTGCTGAAATGGCTTTTTATCAATTTGTCCAGCTTTATAGTTGCTTTTAGGGGGAGAAAATTTGACAACCTCATCATTCAGACATAGCCAGAAATATTTCCTCTCCAATATTTCCTATATATTTTAAAAATTATGATTATATATTTTTTAAAAGTTGTGATCATATTGAACATAGTTTTATATCCTGATTTTTCATTTAACAGACTATAACATGCATCCTCTTGTGCTTTTAAATTTTGCATAAGGATAATTTTTAATGTATGCACAAAGAAATCACTCCTATCATATGGGTATAAAAAAGTAATAGGTAAAAATGCCTGTGTGCCAACTATATCCTTAGTGCTTTACATATTTTATCTCACTTAATACATAAAACTATTCTAGGAAACAAGCATTGTCTCTATTTTACTGATGAATAAACTAAAGTCAAGACAAATTTAGTCACTTGCCCAAAGTCACTCAGCCAGTAAATGGCAGTTCCAGAATTCAAACTAAAGGCTGCCTGACATCAAAGCCCATAACCCTTCGATTCTGATATACTGTTTCCCTCAGACTCACCAAGAATATTTTCATGAAGTAAAGTTTGGATATAATTCTTCTTATTCCCTTAAAATAGATTCCTAGAAGTAGGAGTACTATGGGAAAGGATATAAGTATTTTAAGGTTCTTAATACATACTGACAAAAAATATTTTGCAGACACTTGGCACTAATTTATACTTCTACTAGCAGTGAGAATGAGAGCTGTTTTACCATACCTATGCCACCAGTGGGCATTATCATATTTTAAAGAATTGTCTAATTTTACAGGTAAAATAATGTTCTATTGTTATTTAAATTTGCATTTCTTTGATTATAAATAAGGCAAAATGTTTCTTCTTATATTTATTGGCCATTGGCATTTCTTCTTTTGTGAACTACTGTTTCATGCACTTTGCCTTTTAAAAAAAATTGGTGGGGCCGGCCCTGTGGCATAGTGGTTAAGTTTGTGTGCTCTGCTTTGGTGGCCCAGGGTTCACAGGTTCAGTTCCCAGGCGCAGACCTACGCACCGCTTATCAAGCCATGCTGTGGCAGGCGTCCCATATACAAAATAGAGGAAGATGGACACAGATGTTAGCTTAGGGCCAATCTGCCTCAGCAAAAAGAGGAAGATTCGCAATGGATGTTATCTCATGGCCAATCTTCCTCACCAAAAAACAAAAAACAAAAAAAAATTGATGTTTTTCTTATTGACTTGAAAAAGTGCTTTATATTTTAGGAATAGTAGCCATCTTTCTGATATGTATTCAAACATTTTCCCAGTTTTTCAGTTACACTGTAATTTTGTTTATGATGGTTTCTTCCATATAGAGATGATTTTCATTTTTTGGTAATCTAAATGTTTTATATCTTTCATTTCTTTCAAGCCTAGGAAATCTCCCCTTAATTCATATCTTTAATTAACAGCCACTTCTATTTTTATAGTGTTCACATTTAACTTATTTTAATAAACTCATTTGGAATTTATTTTGATCTACGCTATATGTAATATTTTTGCATTATTTTTTCCATTTAACTATCTACAAAGCATTAATAATTATCTTTTTTAATAGATACATATTCCATCAGTTTTATTTACAATAATTTACTAAGCCTTTCTCTATTATTAGACATTTAACCTTATTTTTAGGTTTTTTGTGGGTGTGTGTGAGGAAGATCAGCCCTGTACTAACATCTGCCACTCCTCCTCTTTTTTTTTTTTTTGCTGAGGAAGACTGGCCCTGGGCTAACATCCGTGCCCATCTTCCTCTACTTTATATGGGACGCCGCCACAGCATGGCCTGCCAAGCGGTGCATCGTTGGGCGCCCGGGATCCGAACTGGCGAACCCTGGGCTGCAGCAGTGGAGCGCACGCACTTAACCACTTGCGCCACCGGGCCGGCCCCTTATTTTTAGTTTTTGCTATTATAGATCCCAAAAGGTTTTCAGGAATATGGGGTTTTTGATCCTACTAAATTATTTCCTTAAGATAAATCACTGTAAGTGCAATTTCTGATTCAAAGGATACTTATATAGAAAGAGTTTACTACTCATTTGGTTTGCAAATAGATAATGGGTCTTTCACGACTCTATTATTGAAAAATAGATGTCCTAATAATGATAAAATAGTAATATGTTTTTGTTATTATTATTATTATTGTGTTTTATAAAGCCTCACTGTCTCCTAAGAAGCAACATGATAAACTGACTTTTTGCTTGGATATATACATATATGTATATATTCTCTCTATAGATAGATACATAGATGATTTTAACATTTTAACACCTGAAAATTGAAAGACCATATTGTAGCTCATTAATAAGCACATGGATTTAAGTTTTTGCATACTTAACACAATAGACTTCTTTCATTCTCCTAAAGATTTTGTATCCAACTTTATTGAGGTAAAATTGGAATATAAGAAACTACATATTTAAAGTATATAATTTGATCAATTTTGACATATGTATACACATGTGAAACCATCACCACAATCAAGATAACAAACATTTCTATCATCCCTAATAGTTTCCTCACATTCTTTTGTAATACATCTCTTCCTCTATCCCTATTCCCAAACAACTACTGATTTGCTTTCTGTCCCTATAGATTACTTTCCTAGAATTGTATTTAAGTGGAATCATACAGTATGTACTCTCTTTTGTCTGGCTTCTTTCATTTAGCACTATGCATTTGAGATTCATCCATGTTGCATATATTAATACTTCATTCCTTTTTATTGCTGAGTAGTATTCTATTGTATAGATATACCACACAATTTGTTTATCTTTTCACCTGTTGATGGAAATTTGAGTTGTTTCCAGTTTTTGGCTTTTCATTATCCTAAAGTTTTTAAGGTTCAATAGCAGAATGACTGCAAAGCTCTATATTTAACAACCCAATATACCAACTGGTTCTAAATATCAATTGCAAAGATGTATATGCTAAAAATGTAAGTAAACACATATATAAAGGATAAATTAGGATGATACCTTCTATACAATTTTTTCTTACCTTTTCATAGACTGAACTGTCTAGGTAAGGGTAAACATGAAAAGCTCCCCGAATCCTCTTCACACCTGGATACAGCAATGGGACCATATTAACATAAGCCACACCATGAAATGAAAGCTGATTTTCATCATCAGTCTAAGGGAATAAAACCAGAGAGCTGTTAGTGCTATAGAGCAATGTAGCAGTTCAAAGACCAGGTTTTAGGAACTAGCTATACTACTTAACTAGTTGACTGTGGGCCAGTTACATAGACATTTTGGGTCTCCTTTGCTTTATCTTCAAAATGGGTTTAATAATACCATGATCATTGAGATAATGCATATAAATAGTGTTAATGAATAGTAAAGGCAGTAGTTGGATCAACACCTACTCCAATTAATTGATAATACATATATTCAACCAAAAAATCGATTTTGCCATGTTGCTTCTTAGGAAAAAATGAAGCTTTGTAAAAACAATAACAACAATAAAAACTTAAAAGAAATCAGAAGCTGTAGCTTTTAGCTTTAGTTCACAGATTCATATGAATGAAAGGGGCCTTACAAATCATCCGGACCAGTGATGACAAATAGACTTTAACTTGTGCCTAAATTCTAATCAATTGGTGGGGGTGTTTTATAGTACCGTGTTGAGAAAGATTCTATGTCCTCATCCGGGTTCAGAAGGAAAGAGTGCTTCGATTGATCAATACTATCTGCCATGGATGAAGGACGATGAATGACAATCTGCGATCATGTATTTGCCATCCCTAATCTCATGTAAATTCTCATTACAAAGATGAAGAACATATCAATAAATCTACCTTAACATCATTTTTAATGGCTGTATGGTTTGTCATAGAAAACTTTTATAAGAAAAAAATCAGTTTAGTAAAAGAAAACACATTTAATTCCCACAAAGTTACAAGTAATCTCTTTGATTTCACCTATTATAATAATTAGAAATTAGATTAAAAAGTCCTACGCTCATGTGATAACATTATGTTGTTTAGAAACTTAAGGAAAGTTAGCCAATGCATATTATATATTACAAAGGGAGAAGTGGTTACACGGTAGTAGTATTTTTATGTAAAAAAGCCTATTTTAAAAATCTATAAAATAATTTACGTACTTGTTAAGTATCTGCTATATGCCATGAATCATGCTAGGTACTGTGGAGGATACACAGCAGTCTACCACAGGATCCCTACCCTTAGGGAGTTTATAAACAAGCAGAAAAGACCAGACATGCACAAGTAAAACAATAAAGAACATGTTCTAGGCCCATCAAAGCTATATCTCTTCAGAACAGCAGCACATCTATGAACTCTATTACTCTAATTAGCAGGCTAAAACATTTTAAGTAGGTAAGTCTAAAGGAAATTCAGAAAGATGTATTAGGTTGAATCACATTACCAATATTTAATTACTATTGACCTACAAAAATGGCTATTTTGTACGGTTTTTTTGTGGGTGTGCGTGAGGAAGATCCGCTCTGAGCTAACGTCCGCCAATCCTCCTCTTTTTTTGCTGAGGAAGACCGGCCCTGGGCCAACATCCATGCCCATCCTCCTCCACTTTATATGGGATGCCGCCACAGCATGGCCTGACAAGCAGTGCGTCGGTGTGCATCCGGGATCTGAAATGGCGAACCCCGGCCGGCACAGCGGAGTGCGCGCACTTAACGGCTCGCGCCACCAGGCCGGCCCCTGTACGGTTTTACCTACATTAAAACTGTAATGAAGGGTTAAAGGGAAATAGGATGTCTGGGAATAAAGGCTAAATAATTTTTAGTGGACAATAGGGAGCTAGGGTGACCAATCATCCTGATTTGCCAGGGATAGGGGAGTTTCCTGGAACCTGAGACTTTCAGCATCAAAACCAGGAAATTATTTAGCAAATCAGGATGAGTTGGTCAACCTACAGAGCAGACACAGCAGTTCACATTTTCCATTGGTATCAGAATGAGAAGCAGAATAACAGGTTGGGTCTGACCCAGCATTTCTTATATAAATATTTTTAAGTGAATAAATCTACCTTATCAAATTTGGCAGCTTTCCCTTTGGGTGCAACGGTCAGAGGAACTCTTGTGATCTCTACAGGCCAAAATCGGCAATCAGCAATTCGCTTCTGAAAACTACAAATAAAGCATTAGCCTATTAGCATTATATGCAAAACTGGGGTTAGTATAATTTAAGTTAAAGGGAAGTATTCCTCTCCTTTAAAAAGTAATGGAATACACATATATAAAAATTTTTATTAGGTAGGTAGGTTTTTCTTCTCAAATCTATAAAATTCCCAAAATAATTCTACTGTACTGCTAACAGAGGCAAATTGTAAATTTCTTAAGAGTGATTTGGCAATATGAATCAAAAGCCTTAAAATGTTCATAATCTTTGACCCAGAAATTCCACTTCTAGTGATTTACTCTAAAGAAATAATCAGACAAGTATGCAAATAGTATAAAATACGTTTATTTCTACTGTGAAAATAGAGTAGGACTTCCAACGTCAGCTCTAATATGTAATCGCTTAGTTGTCAACTCCTGTCCTCACAACAAGAAAAAGCTAGTCAAACTGAAAATCACTTACTTTTCTTAGATCCTTGTAACGATTAATTTCATAGGGCAAACTGCCACCCTGAAATTTGGAGAGACAGGCAAGCACAGAGAATCACAGCTGAGATGAGCTTACAGGCAGCAGAAGCCACTGGAGCCAGTAAATGGTAGAAGCACTTTAATAGTAATTTTGACAAATTGCTGGAGGCTGAGTGTGGACTAGCCAGAGAGTTAAAAAATCCTGGGAGCCCAGTATTAGGGCTCCCCACGTTTTCTTGGGTTTTAAATCAAGGAGCCCCATCAGATTCTCACAGTGAAGATAGGAGAAAAATCCCCTTAGGCAGGGAAAAGGAAAAAGTAACCATTTTGAAATATGCCTAGCAAGTTCTCCATAATAGAGGCCTACCCTTTAAGGGAAACTACTTTACCAGAGCCTTATCTGACTCAGGGAAAGGGCAATTAGACAACTCCAGCCCTGTCTAGCCTTCCTCTCGCACATAAGGAGAGGAAGAAAAAAAAGGCTATTAAACACTTCTGTGGGCCAGCCCCGTGGCGTAGCAGTTAAGTGCACGCGCTCTGCTGCTGGCAGCCTGGGTTCAGATCCTGGGTGCGCACCGATGCACCACTTGTCAGGCTATGCTGTGGCGGCATCCCATATAAAGTGGAGGAAGATGGGCATGGATGTTAGCCCAGGGCCAGTCTTCCTCAGCATAAAAAAAAAAAAAAAAGAGGAGGATTGGCACGGATCTTAGCCCAGGGCTGATTTTCCTCATAAAAAAAAAAAAACACACACACACACACTTCTGAAGGTGACAGCCCAGGGACTCAAACCCATTAAAATACTGAGATTTAATCACAGGATTATAGAATACTTCCCCTTCACAACACCTTACCACCACATCAATAGGGTTCCAGTATAACAGTGGATTATAATGGAGAGGCTGCAAAATAAAGGCCCTATTAAAGAAAGAGTTCTTAGGCAAACCCAAACAGGGGTTTGGAGGAGCAAACAGGGGAGGACAAAAAAGACAACAGGGGAGGAGCAAAAAAAGGAAACTAAAGCCTCTAGCATCTATAGCTACAGCAAACATTAAACACAGCCCAGCTACTAGTCAGATTAACATAAAACCTCATACTAAAAAACATAATTACCTCATTTCTTATTACCCAATACATAATGTCTAGCTTTCAATAATAAATTACTGGGAATGCTAAAAGGCAAGGAAAAAATTAGTCTGAAGAGACAAAGCTACGTAAGAACTAGACTAAGATATGACACAGATTTTGGAATGATCATATAGGGAATTTAAAATAACTATGATTAATATGTTAATGGCTCTAATGAAAAAAGCAGACAACATGCAAGAACAGGTGGTTAATGTAAGCAGAGAGATGGAAACTCTAAGAAAGAATCAAAAGGAAATGCTAGAAATCAAAAACACTGTAACAAAAATGAAGAATACATTTGATAGGCTTATCAGTAGACTGGATACAGTTGGGGAAAGAAGAGTGAGCTTGAAGATACATCATTAAAAACCTCCCAAACTAAAATGGAAAGGAGGAAAAAATGAAAAAAATCATAACAGAATATCCAATAACTGTAGGACAATTACAAAAGGTGTAACAGGAATACTAGAAGGAGAAGAGAGAAAGGAGCAAAAGCAATATCTGAAGTCATAATGGCTGACAATTTTACCAAATTAAGGACAGACAACAAACCACAGATCCAGGAAGCTCAGAAAACACCAAGCATAACAAATACCAAAAAATATACACCTAGATCATATTCAAACTGCAGAAAACCAAAGAGAGAAAGAAAATCTTGAAAGAAGCCAGAGGAAAAAAATACCTTACCTATAGAGGAACAAGGATAAGAATTACATTGGACTTCTCTTCAGAAACCATGCACGTTAAGAAGAGAGTAAAATGAAATATTTAAAATTTTGAAAGAAACAAGCCACCAACCTAGAATTCTGTATCCAGTGGAATTATCCTTCAAAAGTGAAGGAGAAATAAAGATTTTCTCAGTCAAACAAATATGAAGGGAATTTGGCCAGTAGACCTGCCTTGCAAGAAATGCTAAAAGTCTTCAGAGAAAAGGACAATGATATGGGTCAGAAACTTGGATCTACATAAAGAAAGGAAGAGAATCAGAGAACAAAATAATTGAGGTAAAATAAATTTTTTAATTTTTTCTTATTTTTAATTGATCAAATAGGTAACTGTTCAAAGTAATAATAGCAATAATGCATCCTTAACAAAATATCAGCAAATCAAATCCAACAAGGTATATTTATATTATACACACGATCAAGTGGGGGACCAGAGGTATATAGAAACTCTCTGAAATATCTGCTCAATTTTTCTGTAATTCTAAAACTGTTATAAAAAATAGTCTATTAATTGTAAAAAACAAAAACAAAAAACAAAAAACAGTGAGAGTGGTTCATTCAGATTATATGCATATTGATAATCTTCTGTTTCTCATCTTTCCCTAATCACCAGGTTACTGTGACAGAGACTGTTAGTTACCCACACAATATCAATTGTTCTGTTCTTTAGTATCTAAATCCTGACTTAGTCTGGGTACCAATGTGTCCAATAAAAACACTACTTCCTAGCCTCTTCTGCCTCTAGAGATGGCCAATGATATGTAAACAGAGGTGTCAGATTCCAGGAAGGTTCTATAAGAGGGGATAAGACAGTCAGCATATGTCTTCTTTTATCCATAAACACTCCCCTATTCCAGCTTTCTGCTGGGAATATGAATGTGCAGGCTGGAGCTTCAATAGCCATCTTGGACCATGAGATAACCTTGTAGATGGAAGACACGTTAAAGAAGGTAGAGCAAAAAGAAAGACTGAGCCTGGATACCTAATAATATTGTGTAGCCACCATACATACCAGCTCTGGACTTTTATATGAAAAGAAATAAGAACCCACCTTGGTTAAGCCACCATCACTAGAAGCTTCTGTTATCAGCAGATGTGGTGGAAGAGAGTCTCAGATTACCTTAACTCAAATATGCATAAAATCACAAAAGTAACATTTCCTCCCACCTGTAGTATTTGTTGGTTAAACATATTCCTTTTCTTTTCCTACCTGACCACTGCAGGAGGATCAAGGTAGCAGCGGCTTTCTAAGTCCCAAATAATCCTTTTCTTTATGCACTCTGCTTGGTTCCTAAATTCCTTGTCCTGTAAAATAATAAGATAGAGGCTTTTGTTCTCTCAGTGTGCCATGGTGATCCCCTGCTCAATCTGTGGGGCATTTTTTTAATGGATTTGATCACAATACTTTTATTACTACTACTATTACTATTGTAAGTACAACTACTACTGTAAATACTACCACCATCTTAAATTTTAGGGTACTTTACTATTTTATAAAGTACATAAGATAAATTACTTGTATTATCCTTACACCAAACCAGTACAAACCGCCAAATATTCACTCATATAACCTCAATCAGTGATTCTCAACCCTGGATGCATATTAGAATTATCTGAGTGCTTCTAAAAAAAAAAAATCAACAGTTGGGCATTGGTATTATTTTAAAAGTAAATTCTTATGTAACTAATCTGGGTTAGGGCTTGGCCATTGTTATTGTTTTAAAAAATATTGTTGTTTTTTTTTTAAGAGAATAGTTTTTATTTATTTATTTAATTAATTAATTTATTTTTCCCCCAAAGCCCCAGTAAAGAGTTGTATGTTATAGCTGCACATCCTTCTAGTTGCTGTATGTGGGACGCGGCCTCAGCATGGCCGGAGAAGCGGTGTGTCGGTGCGCACCCGGGATCAGAACCCCGGGCCGCCAGCAGCGGAGCGTGCGCACTTAACCGCTAAGCCACGGGGCTGGCCCAAAAAATATTGTGTTTAAAAATATGATATAAAATCTAAATATCTAAAATAAAATATCTGATCTAAATGAAAATATAAATCTAAGAACAGTATAAATTTTCACTAATCTCAATGATGAGAAAAGACACTGCACAATGTTTTTCAAATATTGCTGGCCTTATCTCTATTATTTAAAATACTTAGAGTCAGATACTGAAAGAATTCAACCATCCTCATTTTACAAACTATTTTATTGAATGTTTCCACTGATTATCAGCTCGTTCAAGAAACATTTGCAAATCTGTTTACAGCATTTTCTATACTCTTGACAAATATAGGTTGTAATAAAACATGTTAGAAAGAAAGGGAGAAAGGAGGGAGGGAGGGAAGGAGGGAGGAAAAGAAGGAAGGAAAGAAAGAAAGAGGGAATGGGTGGGGGAGGGAGGAGGGAAGGAGCAAAAAAAAATAATAATAATTTCAACAACCTAAATGTCCGCCAACAGGAGACTGGTTAAGTAAGTTTAAAGTAGGCCCACACAATATCATATCATACAGCAAGTACAAGTAAATAAAGAAAAAGAATGAGAATGCTCTTTACGTAGTGATGTGGAAAAATCTCCAAGATACACTGTAAAGCGAAAAAGGAAGCTGCAGAGCAGTGTATGTGAGTGTGCTACCATTTGCGTAAAAAAAATGATAGGGAAAGAATATGTGTACGCATATGTGAAGCAAAACTGACATTTTTCCCTGCTTCCAATATGATTAAGCACTTTATATACTCAGTTAAAAATAAATAAAACTTTATACCCTGAGATAAAGCAAAAATAGTGTCTTTCTGACACATTCTAGTTCTGAAAATAACAAGACTTTGAATATTTCCTATAAATCTGGACTCCCTAAAGAAAAACAATTTTATTCCTGACTTTTACTATGCTACGTCTGTGAGCTAGTCTTTCTGAAATCTGACTCCCTTGCATTTTTTGCAAGGAAACTTTACTTTTCTAAACGTTCTTGTTTCTGTGTCTTCCTTTGACTATATATATGTTTGCTTTTATATGCATAAAAAAGTAACCAGAAGGAAACACAAGAAATTATAACAAAGGTGACTACTAGGGTGATAACCTGGGAAGGAATTAGGAGAAAGAGACACGGAGTAGGAGGGAGACTTTAACTGCATATCTCTTAATTTTTTATTTTGACCTGTGACTGTATTATTATCTACTCAAAAATAAATAAATTTAAAATAAAATAAAGAGTAAATTTGAATTAAATCAATTATTTTGTTTGCTGGACTTAACGAAGTCAGGAGACATTTTAATCAGAATTAGATAATTGTTTTATTTTGACATATAATTGTTTTATTTTAACAGGTGACAGATGTATATAAATTACAGTGATTCACAAAATGTTTTATCATATGTCAGTAAACTGAGTTTATCATAAAAAACTGCATAATTCTCTCACCTCAGGGTGGTTGAGTTCTCCTTCTTCTTCCTCATAGGGCCCCCCAACAATGAATGCATCAGGAATGTTATTAGCTCCTGGAGCCTGAATGTTGGCAACAGGCCATTTTTTGGGCCGGGGAACAGGTTCTCTTTCCCCTCCAAGCTTCAGAGTTCCATTCTTGAACAAAATGGGATAGTCTTTCTACAGAAGTAAATATCATATATCAGGAAATTTTGTAAAAGACTTTGAAATGGACAAAAAAGATTACTGAAGTGTCTTTTCAATGGAATGCTGAGTATTGTCTAACAGACCCTTCTGTGATTATCTGATTCTATAGAGGGGCCTATGCCCTTCATTGTCTTTGTGCTATTTTATAATTCTGTAATTTACAGAAAATTGATAATAATGCAAATTATTCTTGTCCATAGATATGCAAATGTATTTTGTCCAGTGTAGATGTAATTGACTGATTATTGCTCTGTAGCTGATGACAAGTTCTGAATTATTAGCAAATTCATTTCAATGTTCCTGATTGCTTATATATGGGTCATTTCTTCAGCTTCTCCTTGGAACTGGTTGAAACCCTTTTTGTCATTTTATATTTATATGAGAGTCATGATGTACCTTTTATTTTATTTCTTTTAAAATATTTTATTTTTAAATATGAAAATAATATGTGCACATGGTTAAAGAATCCAAACAGTACAGAAAAGTAGTAAATACAAAGCAAAAATCTCCCTTCCTCCCTGTCTTTTCGTCTCTTGTCCCATGAGGTAACAATTTATTTCCTTTTTGTGTGTGATTACTATGTGAGTTTATAAAAATTAAAAAAAAATTATTGTGGTAAAATATGCATAACATAAAATTTACCATTTTAACCATTTCTGAGTGTATAGTTCAGTGGCTTTAAGTACATTCACATTGTAGTGCAACCATCACCACCATCTATCTCTGCAAGTTTCTTCATCTTCCCAAAATGAAACTTTGTAACCGTTAAACAATAACTCTCCATTTCTCTCTCCCCAGTCTCTGGCAATCACTATTCTTTCTGTCTCTATCAATTCATCTACTCTATGTACCTCATATAAGTGGAATCATACAGTATTTGTCCTCTTGTAACTGGCTTTTTTCACTTAAATAATTTTTTGACTATTTTTTATTTTAGGTAGGTTACTACTGTAACTCTAATTTATACACTTATATGGTGTTATTTAATCTCTCAAACTTAAATAGTATTTACTGATTCCGTGCAAAGAAAGATTTAGTGTCATTGCTCCACTTCCAAAATCCCTTCACACTCTCCATCTCTCATGCTATTATTCTCAGTTCTTCAAGCTATTTTTCGTTCTTCCAGTAAGTGGCCCTCTCTACTGAACACCAGTCTCTTCTATCCAACTGCCTGCTTGATACCTCCACTTGGATGTCTAACAAACATCTCAAACTTAAAATATCCCAAACTAAATTCATGGTCTTTGGCCCCACCCCACTCTGCCTTCTCCAACCTGCTCCCCCACTGTCTTCTCCACTCTATAAATGCCAACTTCATCTTTATAGTTGTTTCAGGCCCCAAATCTTAGAATCACCCTTTCCCCCAACACCTTTTGTCCCCATCATGACTCACATTCAAACTGATGGAAAATCCTGTTGACTTTACCTCAAAATATATCTATACTCTGACCACTTCTCATTACCTTCCCTTGACCAAACTATCATCATCTCTCACTTGAATTACTGAAATATCTAACTTGTCTCCTTGCTTCTTCCCTTGCCCTCCCATGGTCTAATTACAAAATAGTAGTCAAAGAAGTTCTTTTAAAATGAATATCAGATCATGTTACTCCTCTGCTCAGCCAATGGCTTTCCTTCTCATTCAGAATAAAAGCCAAAGTCCTTATGAGGGCCCAGGAAACTCCATACCAGTGCTTTCCAAACTTTCAAGTGCGTAAGGTTCACCTGGGGGCTTGTTAAAGTGCAGATTCTGATCCTAGGTGATCTGATGCTGCTGGCTAAAGGACTACACTTGAGTGAAAGACTACGTGATCTTCTCCACAACCCGCATACTCATCCTCCCTTGCCTCTCTAGTTTGTCTTATTACACTCCTCCTCTTTCTTCTTACTCTAGCCTCCCGGTCTCTTGTTGCATACACCCACCTCAGTCTTTGCACTTGCTGTTCTCTCTGCCTGTTCTCTCTGTTCACTCTTCCTTCAGATATTTGTAAGGCTCACTCTCTCCTCTCCTTCAGATTGTTTCCCAAGTACCAATACTCCTGAGGCCTTCTCTCATCTCTCGACTTAAAATGGCAACCCTTCCCTAGCCCCTGACCCTCCTTAATTTTTTTTTATAGCAAGATGTACAAACTATGGCCAACAGCTTGCTTTTGTAAATAAAGTTTTACTGGAACAAAGCCACATGCATTTGTTTATTAATTACTTATGGCTGCTTTCCTGCTATAATGGCAGAGTTAAGTATTTGTGACAGAGACCTTATGGCCTGCAAAACCGAAAATATTTACTATCTGGCTTTTTACAGAAAAGTTTGCTGACCCCAGCTTTGCAGCATTGATCACCATCTGATTTACTAGATGAGTCACTCATTTATTTGTTTATAGTCTGCCTCTCCCCACTAGAATGGAAACTCTGTGACAAGGGCTTGTCTGTTTTGTTCATACTATATTCCTAACACACAGGAAGGTGCCTAGCATAGAGAGTCACTCAAGGAATATTTGTTAAATGAATGATTATCTTTATAAGTTAAAAAATATATATACATAAACCTTTGTTTTGTCACCCATTTAGACAGTACTACTGACTTCCCACCGTGTAACATGAGGACACTGTTGGACCTATACTTTCTGCCCTCTCTCCTCCCCCTCTTTTGACTCTTGATGGCCAATGGTATTTTTGTATTGTCAGTGTTGATACCAATTACATTCTGTACTATAACTAAATCTTAACTTGCTTTGTCTATAGGTTAATTCTAAAAATGACCAACCCCTCAAAAAGGCATTTCAAATATTGTAATTGGGTAAACAATACTTACTCTACAGAATCTAGCAGTGTTATTGAACCTATGGAGAAGAAATGGCAATTCTAAGCCATGGTGCATGAAGGGAAATATTCCTGTTATTAAGGGTAAATGGATTATCTTTTTTTTTTTTATAACTTAGTCCTCCTTTTTGGTCAGCACATTAGGTAATATTTGTTTTTAAATTATTTATTTTTATTTTTTTAATTGCGTTAACATTGGTTTATAACATTGTATAAATTTCAGGTGTACATCATTATACTTCTGTTTCTGCATAGATCACATCATGTTCACCACCCAAATACTAATTACAATCCATCACCACACACATGTGCCTAATCATCCCTTTCACCCTCCTCCCTTCCCCTTTCCCCTCTGGTAACCACCAATCCAATCTCTGTCTGTCTGTGTTTGTTTGTTGTTGTTGTTATCTTCTACTTATGAGTGAGATCGTATGGTATTTGACCTTCTCCCTCTGTGAGTTATTTCACTTAGCATAATACCCTC